TTATCTTGGTCCCATGACCTTCACAGGTATGTTTGGTGGAAACACAGGAGACAGCTTCCCCTGTTACTGCCCCCAGACCCTGAAATTTCCTCTCACAAGAGGCCAGCCTGGCCCCATCTTTGTTGTCCTTTCATAAGCAAACGAAGGTCTTTCTCTTCACACAGGCTTTCCTTTAGTGATTAGCTGGCTGAGAGGAGTTTTCAAAATGGAATGTTGTGCCTTGTTGCTTTGAATCTGTTTTTGGTGTTGTGTTGATTTGGTTTACCATTTTCAATGTCGTATTTGTTTCACTCTTTTTAATATCTGTATACAGTGGTGCCTTGCAAGACGAATGTAATTCATTCTGCAAGAATCGCTGTCTTGCGAAAAAATCGTCTTGTGAGGTTCCCTATGGGAACCTCGCAAAATGAATGAAATGTACTTGTCTTGCGAGGCATCGGTCTCGAGGAAAAAAAACACCATTTTGCGAAGCATGGCCATAAAAGACACCGTCTTGCGAGGCACCATAGCGATCACAAAAACCAATCGTCTTGCGGGTTTTTCATCCTGCGAGGCATTTGTCTTGCAAGGCACCACTATAATTAGTGTTTTTAGCTTTGTTGTCTTTAAAAGGAGAAAGGCAAGGTAAAATATTTAAAATAAAGTAAATCTCTATTTTCCCTTTCACACAAGATGAACCTACTGAAACATTTTATATCTGATTGCTATTTTCTTAACCTATTCAATGTCTCCATGAGGGGGTAAGGTTTAAGTCTACCATGAATCCGGGTTAGATGCCCAGACACATCTATAGTTAAAGTAGACCAACAAACACAAATGGGAAGTAAGCCATGATGATTTTAAGTCCCCTTGGTTTCAACAGGTCCGCTCCAAATATGGCTAAGTCTTGATCCAGCTACCTGGGTTTCAGAAATCATTAGTGTGGCATGATTCTCACCTTACACCCTGTACTTCATAGGTATGGCAGGATGCAATTTTTTTTTAAACAACAGGGACTATCTTAAAGGCGAACACATCTTCTCAAAGAAGAGCTTGTGCTTGCTGTCTGAAGGCAAATATTTGAGGATCTTATTTATAGCATTTAAATGCAGTCATTTGAAACAAACAAGTAGGTTCACAGGCAGTGCCAACCACGGCTGAACTGTCACTTCCTGACATCCTGTCTTACCTGCCAAATTGCTCATTAGGTCTGGCAATTTTCACCTGCGCCTTTAGCTTATATATTTCAGCAGGGAATAAACATCAGTTCGCTTCAACCCATCTCCTGTAGCAAGCTCCCTAGCCGTTTTCGAAACACACTGACATCCACTTACACAAAATAAAATGAAATGAAATCTACTGTTGAGTAGCACATGGTTGATTTTTTTTTTAAAAAGAACTCTGTCTCAACCAGAGACTTATAGCAGCAGGAAGTTTAGCTTGGGTAATGATTTTTTTAAAGGCACATACACAAACACACAATAGTGTCAGATGAAAAACAGATAGAAAGGCAACTGTGCTAACACATAAAGGTATAGTATAGCTTATGTACGTATTTTCAATATAGAATAATACAAAGATGATGTTGCCCAGCATTATTTTTGCTTATTTGTGGAGATCCAATCTGCCCCAACCCTCCCACAGTACATGATTACTTCAAAGAATGCATGGTTATATGTCTCGCACATAGGGGGGGAAGGCAAGCCAGATGAATATTGCTTTCTCAGCTGGAGGTGATCTAGCTAACCTTTTTCCTTTCTAAAGAAGGTGGTACGATTTATACACAAACAAAAAAAGGGGGTGGTAACATGGCAACCTGAACAAAGCAAGATGAAAATCTCAGCAGATTGTTCACCCTTAGCTTAATACATTTAGACAGTGCATCGGAACAGAGGATGGTCTGGAACCCCTTCTGATGCATGTGAACAGCAGAATCAAATGTAAGCTTTTTTCACATGAGCAGCGTTTTCACACAATGTAGCCCTTTTGGTGCTTGGAAAAAGCATGTTCAAGGGGGGGAAAATAGCGAAATTATGAAGCAGAAAAAGAGAGTGAAAAATATCTACAACAACAGCCAACCAATTTCAGATGGAATACTGTTTTTCACTTGGTAGAAGTAAAATATTCACCACAAACCCTACAATTAGCTGGAAAATTACAATAATTACAGCAATTTTGCATCCTATCTCCAATCTAATTAATAGATATATGATCTTGTCAACATGTAATAATCGGGATCTGCAACGACCACAAAACTGGATGGGTTTTACGCGCTGAATAGAAGTTCAACAGTAAGAAGGTAATTATCTGAGATCCTGAGAATACCATTTGTATGCCATGCTTCAGCTCACAAGTTAAAAAGGAAATACAATAGGGATATTATTTCTATTTTCAAAGTATATTTAAATCAGGTATTTGAAATCGGTTAGCTTTAATGTCAAGTAACATTGTGAGTATGGCTTCAATTACCCATGGGGTACCACATCCTAAAGAACAAAACCTATTTCACAAAGAAATGAAAGGAATTCTTTAAAGTGGTACACAGAACACTGCTTTTGATTTTCTAGGATATCTGTGCCAAAATATTTCACACTTCTTTGTCTCTGGGCATAGATGTCATGCAAATGCACTTCCGAAGTGAGCATCTTTTGAACAGTTTTTTCAAACACTGCTTTTTTTCAGTTAGCCAGAAGCACAACAAAGGCATAAAGGAAGCAAAAGTCTCAAATCACCCACAAATTTAAACAAATCAATTATAAAAGAGGCTTTTAAAATGGGCATCTAGTCTGACCCACTAATACAAGGCAAAACCAAACACCCACCCATCAGTGAAAGGTTAATTTCCTGCTATGATGAGGGTAGCTCCACAGCAGGTACAAGCAATGTATAGACCTCCAGATAAAATCAGGCTACAACTCTCAGCATTCCTCACCACTGGTTACGCTGGCTAGGACTGATGGAAGTTGCAGTCCAAAAGCATCTAGAGAACCACAAGATGCTCATCTCTATTCTGCAGCTATTTGTCATGTCAGTGCTGGAACGGATGGATGAACCCTCAACTTACGAAGTGGACCCTCAACTTACGAAGGTCCCTACTTACGGAAATTTCGTAAGTACGAAAAGCTCCGGCCACAAAATTTAGCTCGACTTGCGGTCAGAGCTTCGACCTACGAAAGGCAGGGGCAAAGGGCAGGAAATTCAAAGGAGCCCCCGCTGCCCTCTTGTCTCCTGTCCCCAGCGTCCTCTGCCTCCTGTGGACAGGAGGGCAGCGGGTGCAGCTTTCGAAGCTTTCAGCTTGCAAGCTTTCGGAGTGGAGCAGCTTCCGGCCTGGGCAGAAGGCACTGGGTACAGGAGACAGAAGGCAGCGGGAGCAGCATTTGAAGCCCCAAAAGCTGACAGCAGGAGCAGAGTGGCTTTCAGCTTCCTGGCCCCCACAGAGGCAGGAGGCAGAGGGCAGCGGGGGACAGAAGGCAGAGGGCAGCGGTTCCGCTTTGGAAGCCCGGGATTTTTTTTTCTTTGGCTGGAACGGATTAAATGGTTTTCAATGCATTCCCATGGGAAATGGCCTCTCAAGCTATGGAATTTTCAACCTGCAGCCACAGTTCCAATACAGATTAATTCCGTAAGTTGAGGGTCCACTGTATTGCTCATATCCAGCAGACAGCTTTGGGGATCAGGAACAATTTGAGTAGACAAAGAGTGAACTGTGTCCAGGACTCCTTACCTGTATTACAACTGCTGTAATATGAGGTGCATTTTTTTAATTAGGGATAGAACTCAGAAAGGCCAACAGAGAATATAGGTGGACAGACAGACATGTACAATCTCCCTCCCTCCCTCTCTCTCACTTACTCACTCACTCACACACACACTTAATTTGTTTAGCAAAGGGATGTGCTCACTCACACACACACACACATACACACTTAATTTGTTTAGCAGAAGGGATGCTTGCATCACCAGAAGAACCTGTGGGATGTTAAAACATGCAATGGACCTGTTCTCACATTGTCTACTCATCTGCCATGAAGGTTTTGTGAGGAATACAGTGGATCTTCCAATTAACCTCACTGTTGTGCCTTTGTTACTCTTGGGGGACCACCGACTTCTAATTTCACCGAGGTGGACTGAATGACAATGAAGTACACTTGCCCTGGATGGCCACCTTCCTAAGATGACAACATTATTTGTTCAGCAGCAGAGTTTCAGGTCAGATTATCCCATTAAGCTTCCGAAAGCTACTGAGGCACAGCCATATGATGTGCATCTCATGATCAACCCAACAAAAGTTATGTAGCTTTCTCCACGACTCTTTGCAGGAAAGCCAACACTGCCATCAAAAATGGCAGCTCCTTGTGAAATGAGGTCCTCCTCCATATCCTCTTGACCTGTCTTGTGATACAAATATTTCAGGTTCCCCCATCCTTATCCAATAAAGACATGCACCAGGACATCAGAACATGGAAGTAATAAGTATGGCATACAGTGCATGTCGTGAAAGGAATAGGAAGCAAACTGAAAACACAGGGCTTCCATTTTGAGTGGCAGTCCTCCATTTTCTGTCACTGACTGCAAAATGTTCCTGCTTTCCTCCTGATCCCAACATGTCTTTATCCCGTTCTGGACAGACATGGAATACAACTCCCTGCTCTATATGTCTTGTGAGGTTGGGGAGATATAAGATAACACAGTTCACGATCAAGCGATATAAAACTGCAAGGGTTAGAAACTTAATGCGACATTCCCAGAATTGTGGTGCACGAAACACCTACAGAGAGAGAGAGATGAATTATGAATATTTGAAAGCAAATAATGGCTGCTGTGTGTTTTTCAAAAGCACCAAATAGCAAAAATATACTTACTTGCCTGCCTCAGAACATTTACTTAACTTTTAATTTTTAATCAGCTTATGAAAAAGATACATAATGGCTCATACTCCCAAGCACTTGGAAAGGTAACCGAAGTTGGCATCCTGGTAAATGAAGATTAAATGTGCTGCAGCAAAGGCAGCTTTTACTCACTTGCGCGAAGGACTGAGGGCGTGACCTCAATTTCACTTGTTGCTTGATAAGGCTGAAAGGCAGACACAGGATTTGTGCCCATCTCACTCCCAAAGATCTCGGGACTCTGAGTGCCAGTAGAGCTGGCGCTGGTGCCGTCTCCCCCATGGTGTGGATCTTGCTCATCAAATACAGCTACAAGCTGTGAATAACAAAGAGGTCTCTGGTTAATAAAAATGTGATGCATCACCTGCAGTGTCATATAAAGCAAGAAGTAGAAGTTGGTTTTGTTTTTTAAAACTGGCTATGTCCACAGCATTAGAATTTGAACCCAGGGATAAATCTGTTGTAGAGGTGGGTAATGCTCCCTCTCTCCAGATATTGTTTGACTACAAGTCTCATCAGCCCTTGCTGTCAAGGTAAATTTACAGGCCTGAGCAGAATAAGGTGTGTTAATGAGCAGCTATAATGAACAGGTGTGTAGAAATGCTGAGTCATGATGACTCATGAGGGCTGACTCGTATGATGCAATGTCTAATGTGATTGGACACAGATAGATGTGCATAAGTATATATGTGTACTCTGTACAGTAGATGTACTTCCTCCTGTTCTGATGAGTGTCATGCTGTTATGCTATCAGACTGCACTGCTGCATATAGTCTGTAAATACACACTGGTGTCGGTGAAGCTGCCTGCATATGCGTGTTTTTTTTGGACTGCCTGGACTGGACTTTAGTCTGCTAACTCTGCTACCATTTCCGCGTTCTGGCGCTAACACTTGCTAGCCTAGTCCATAGTTGGGCATGATGGGTACTGGAATCCAAACATATCTGGAGGGTTATATGCCACACCCATTCCTTCAAATTCCGGGTCACTGCAAAGTGAAGGCTCTTGAGGCATACATCTCAATCAGGTTTGAAGTAACTTACTACCTTTGACTGAGATTGTGTCCAAACCAGCACAACCAATAAAGGGCCCAGAATACACAAATACATACCATTAGTCTTCCCTCCGCCCCCGGCCACCACCCAACCAGAACAGAGGATGAAGAAGAGACTGACTCCATCATTTAAGTCGGTAAGGAATACTGTCATTATCTTATTTAGTAATTTGTAATAGTAGTTAATTATGTTATTCTCATAGCAGCCCCCAAAAGAAAGGGACGTGGTATTATCCGCCTAGTTTTCAAACAGGAGACAGGCACAAGGACACTGAAATGTCTTGCCAAAGATGAAACAGGAAGCCTTTTAAAAGGAAATAATTGGTCCCATTTTTCCCAATTGCCAAGCAATGAATGTGACAGCTAAAATCGCAGTGGATGTAAGAAAGCAATATATAAAGGTAAAATCTGAAAATGTTCAAGCCACAGAAAAAGACATTTCCTCCCTCGTTTTGTTCTTTTTTTAAAAAAAACCAGAAAAATGTGAGGAAAGTCAGAATACAGGCATGTAACCACCAAACAACTTACTGTGTAGTCTTATATAAGTCTTACTTAAATCAAACAGGATCCGCTCGAAAGTACAGGTGCAAAATATCACATCTATAGTTTACCACTTTTGAAATGCGGAATGTATTACCTATACATTTTACTCATTGGAATTGAATTGTGCACTACCTTTATTAAATTTAAAAACATAAATTCACCTTACACGTCTATGAGTGACAAACACCGCCATAACATGAGGATCCTGTACCTGTCAACTAAAGACTCTCCACCGAGTCTACTCTGGTGGTACTCAACCAGTGAGGAATACACTGTCATGTGTAGTTCGAGGAAACCCTTTTATGTTGTAAGAAAATGAAGAAGAGAAATGAGAAGGAAATTATATTCATTGCTTTCTTGGTGCACAGTTTATTACATCACCACATGTACCAATGTGGGCTGGACGGGTACGAGCCAGAAATTGGGAATTCAGTTCCCTACTGGGCATCACAGAATAGACAGCCTGTGTGGCCTTGGGCAAGCTGCACAGTTCAGGATGCCTACAGAAGAAGGGGATAGTGAGCCACTTCTGAGAATTCTCTGCCTCGAAAACCCTGGGAAGTATCACCGTACGTCAGAATTGACTTGAGAGTACATTATTATTACTTCTATGTACTAAGAGGCACTATTATCTTTCTTTGACTTTTCTGTATTTCTGAGTTATGCTATAATGTAGTGTTTGTGGTGTAAGGGTGGTGCCACTACGCATCTCCCTTAATGCTGCCTCCATGACATCTACCATTCACCCATTGCCCAAAACATACCCTTTTCCTCTCACAGTGGCAGTGCTAAATTAGATGCAACACTCATCTCAATCCAAGACACACCATTCTGAATTTCAAATACAGTGGTGCCTCGCTAGACGGTTACCCCGCATGACAGTTTTTTCGCTAGACATTGACTTTTTGCGATCACTATAGGTAAAGGTAAAGGTTCCCCTTGACAATTTTTGTCCAGTTGTGTTTGACTCGAGGGGTGGTATTCATCCTTGTTTCCAAGCCATAGAGCCAGCGTTTTGTTCGAAAACAATCTTCCGTGGTCACATGGCCAGTGCGACTTAGACACACAACACTGTTACCTTCCCACCGAGGTGGTCCCTATTGATCTACTTGCATTTGCATGCTTTCGAACCGCTAGGTTAGGCAGATTCACAGTTCACAGGTTTCAATGTATTCCAATGGGGAAATGCTTTTCGCTAGACAATGATTTCGCTAAACAGCGATTTCAGTGGAACCGATTATCATCGTCTAGCGAGGCACCACTGTAGAATGATTGAGAACGACAGATGCCTTTGAATTGTGGTGCTGGAGGAGGCTCTTGAACCACCCCATGTTGTTTGAAGGACTCTCTGGGTGGTTTATAATTTAATTATGCATGCTACACACTGCCCTCCACAGCAAGCTGGGTACTCAATTTACAACTCTTGGATGGCTGAGTGAACCTTGAGCTGGCTATCTAGGATTGAACCTGGATCATGAGCAGAGTTTCGGCTGCAGTGCTGCAGTTTAAGCACTCTGCCACAAGGTTCCTTGGGGAGCAAGGTTTTTTTTTAAAAAAAAAGTAGGGTTTTTTAAAAAAAATCTTGATCTAGTTTTTGCCAGTTTATACCTTCATTATTCCAAAATACTTGAAAGAATTCTAATTGTTGGTTAGACCAAACATCACGTCAATCATTATTACTTTAGAAATTTTAAACAGACAAGTTATGCAATGGTGGGAAACAGCTGTACCACCTTAAAACGTTTATTTCCTCTTTGGGGATGAATGAAATCTGTCATACAAGCCGTGCTTCCCTCACCAACATTTTAATTTTTCCTCCTTTTCATACGTCAGGAAAGGAAACAAGGAAAATGTTTGTCTCCACAGATAAGCAGGCAGGCAGAAAGAGAGAGAGATTAAACTACATGAGGTTAGACTCAATTAAATTAGAGTAGTCCATTTTTATTTCACACTCATAGACTAGAGGGACTGCCATCATCTGGCATCGAAGCCAAGGTATCTTTTATGCACACCTGTAACAAACTCCGGGTGGTGCGTGTAGAGGAAAATAGAAAGCTATCTGTGGAGACAACGGCTACCAAATATCCTACAGCAGGACTGCCATATCATCTGAGCTGTGTGTGTCTCCAGTATCACTTCATTAACGAACTCTCACGAGACACTATTCCCCCTCTCTGGTGAGGTCAGGCTTTCTGCAAACAGCCAGGACAAAACAACAGCAATAAAAACAGAGGTTCCTGTAACTGCAGCCTAACTGATGGATTCCTGTAACTGCAGTTTACTTGCATCAAAAATACAAGGTATTTAAACATGTTCTTCTTATCATATGAGGTGGAGGGGGAGAGAAAGGGGATGGAGTTATGCTATGGAAATGAATTTATATCACTGGAATGCCCTGAATAAATCAATGTTATCTGATTTTGGCAGGTAAGTAGAGTCAAGCCTGGTTAGTATATAGATGGGAGACTATCGGGGAACACTATGACGTCCACCATGGGTTAGGAAAAGATTATGTCTCTGGAGAGGCCCTGCCAGAGATCAGAGTAGTTGTGCATCGGTGGACCAACAGTCTGTACCAGTAGAAGGCCAGATTACCATGTTCCTTATTTCCTAAAATCTATCACCGTAAAGAAAGCTGAAGAATTGATGCCTTTGAATTGTGGTGCTGGAGGAGACTCTTGAGAGTCCCCTGGACTGTAAGGAGAACAAAGCTATCCATTTTGAAGGAAATCAACCCTGAGTGCTCACTGGACAGATCCTGGAGCTGAGGCTCCAATACTTTGGCTGTCTCATGAGAAAAGAAGACTCCCTGGAAAAGCCCCTGATGTTGGGAAAGTGTGAAGGCAGGAGGAGAAGGGGACGACAGAGGACGAGATGGTTGGACAGTGTCATCAAAGCGACCAACATGAATTTGACCCAACTCTGGGAGGCAGGGGGAGACAGGAGGGCCTCGTGTGCTCTGGTCCATGGGGTCACGAAGAGTCGGACACAACTAAACGACTAACGAAAATCTATCAACAAGTTACTGCTTGTAATTAGTATAATTACACTGATGCAATTGCTTGTTCTTATAGTAAAGTGGAATGATATAACATGAGAGTTATAAAATGCAATCAACTGACATATTAGTCTTCTTTAGGTCTGATGCCCATGTGTTAAATCGATGATTGACTGGGGCTGTGTTCACCTTGCCCTGACACGGTGCATACTGATGGGTCCCCAGCCTGGATGACTGCACATCTGGTGCAAACATTTACCATAAGCGAGCCACAGGAAGTGTATCTCTATGGACAAGAGATTCCTTGTTGCAGGTAGGGATAACGTGTGACATCTAGGGAGATTCTGCAACTGGGAGAACATGGTAGAGCATCAGACCAAGCATGTGTCCAAGCATGTGCCATCATTTGTAGAGAGAGGGTTAGTGTGGCAGATGTGAAGAACAGGATGAATGGAAGGAGGAAATATAAGAGATCCTTTAAAAGGCTTCTTCCAATCTGGTGCCCTGTAGGTGTGTTGGATTACAACACTACCACAACCAGTAGATATGCAGAATTATGTCCATCACAGTTGTACATTGATAAATCTGTACCAGGCTTGGAAAGTCAATGATCCTATTCTGACAATTCCTTCAAAGAAGTCTTCTCAGTTACCTGTGCTCATAGCCATCAAACCTGTGTTCCACCACATGAAACCCAGATTATGCAAACAACTGAAGACAC